CGGCTTTGACTTGGTGGTGGCCAAATGGCACCGTCTTGGAATTTTACGCCAGCACAGAGACGCCGACCAATGACGCAAGAACACAGAATTATATATTATCAACAAGTGTCCCCATGACTTTTCATGAACAACTGCCACGTCAATCACAGATCTAAAGGCTGAGGGACTCTTGTCAGAATATTTAGATCCGTCAGATATGTACCACGTGTCGAATTTACAGTGGTTCATCGGTACGGAAAGGGTCTTCTAATCAACCATTTTTGTGAAATATACACTATCACGACTGGGTTACTGATAACATTTTTAATCCTAATAATAATAGGCCGGCAAGCATTGACACAAATGTTATTGCCAGTATGATACGGTCCACATAGTAGATTAGGTGGTCGAGATTGTTTGATGTTCCACTTCTGCTTTACGGGGTTTGCGTAGTTCGTCGGTCACTATGTAGAATACGTCATGATCGGGTATTTTAATGATTTTTTGACCTATTGTTGAGAAGCTACCACACTTTGTTGTCAGCTGAATATAATTAATTACAAGGCCTCTAAATAAAGTAAAAGCTCAATGAGCCAAATATTAGTTTGAAAAAGCTAACAAAAGGAACCGACTATTGATTAAAAGACACAAACATTATGACTAAACATCGTGTTCTTTATGATCTTCTTGTCGGTTACTGAGTCAAATTGTGAACCTAACATGCCCCATGGGTAACTAAATTTTACTTCCTCCAAATTGCGAGACATTAAAAGAAGGTTTGAATTACATATCTTGTTGAGGTAATCAGACGTTTGTATAACTAACTTCAATATTACACAAAACATATGTGTAATATGCAGTTGGAATAAGTCCATTAGTCTCGAGCGGATAATATATATATACTTCCATTTTGATTTTTAAGATGTACAGTTACGTATTACATTCAAGGATGTTTGTGTTTAGCTTATTACAATTTACTCTCTCTCTCTGTAATAATAAGAATAAATACAATCATGTTGCAGAAATGGATAAGCCTTAAAAAATGTTAATACTCTAAGGTGGGAGAAAAAGACAAAACGCTTTCAAAGTTATATAATCTAGCTAGGGATGTATGGTTAGTATAGGTTTGGTGGTGACGACGAATCCACAATATGAAGTGACCACACATTATATTAAAAACAAGTCATAAATAGCAAGTAGATTTTTAAAATTACGTATTAAATTTATCAATTAACAACTAATATTTTTTACGCATATAAAGAACAGGCAAGTCCGAGCCAAAGCATAACACAGCACACTTGGGGTTAAGAAAAAGAAAAGAAGAGTTTCTCTTTTCGTGGGTCAATTTTCTCTTCTTCCTTTTCTCGTGCTTTCCTCACGAGATCTTTCACAAGACTCTCACGTTAAAATAATAGAAAAGAAAAAGGTAAAGAGAGAAAAAAAAGAAGGAATCCATAAATGGACATGAGGAGCAACAACCACCAGCAACAACAGCAACAAGTACTTGATGGGTCGGACATAGTCGAGCTGGTCGAAAACGAAAAAGTGTTCGACAAGTTTGTGGACCAAAAGTTTCAACAGTTAGATCAAGATGAAGATGGTAAGCTCTCCGTGAAAGAGCTACAGCCTGCCGTTGCTGATATTGGCGCCGCTCTTGGTTTGCCTGCTCAGGGCACTTCCCCTGATTCCGACCACATCTACTCAGAGGTGAACTTTTTTTCTAATTTCTTTGTTTATAGAGTTTTAATATTCGTGACATATATGATGGTCCGGCTAATTTGCACATAACTGGCATTGATTTAGTATTCATTATGCTTTCTTTATATTGTTGATCTTGCTTCTTGCATCCGTAGTTTCATGGTGTAATCTTTGATTTTACTAGGAAAAATGCTTTTCTTTTCTTGGACCGCTTACTACATTTATCTAATAGCCACATAGCTCCTTTATGTTCTTGGAATTATCATACATATTACGTAAACTATTATATTACTGACAAAAGTTGAAATGGAATCTCAGCATTTTACTATAGTTGTTTAAGTTATCTTCTTGATATTTGCATAGGTTTTGGTGGATGCATTCTATTTCGTTAGTGATAGGTGAAAAATAATAAAACCAGCATATCTTTTAATAATGATAAATAACTTTGGTGATGTCAAAAAAAAAAAAGGATAAAATAACTTTGGTCGGTGACCTTATCCTAGCTCGTATCTCAAGTTAGCCCCTCGTGTCGCTCTCCTCGCTGCCGTCTCATGCTTGGAACATCGCTTTATGAATCCCTCACCTACTTATTCTTGACTACTGTGTTTTTATTAATCTAGTGGCTGTTATATATATACTTACGTATTTTATACGTCATGTATAAAAACTACAGACCGTTATTTTCTGTATAAAAACTACATATTCAGATGTGAACCAAAAACCAAAAGATTAACACTTCTATTTAGCGACAAAGAATCTTGAAACGACATTAAATATGTTAAACCTACCTCGTGTTTGGCATGAATCACGTTGATTATCGATTAAACCAAGAGGGTTGAATAAATATACAATTGTTTAGTTCGTAATTTACTAAGATTCGCTTATTGAAAAAAACATCCAAGAAGATGTAAACCCGAATACGTTTCTTTCTCTAATTGGATACAAGTCAAATATGTAGTTACTTATCGTTAGGCTTTGTTTTTGGTATTTAAAGAAGAGGCTACAAGATTAAACCAACAACCTTCCATCTGTTTCCTCCGTACATTTTATTTTCATCATTTAGTAAAACGTTATACTAATAAACTGTTAACAGGTCTTAAACGAATTCACGCATGGAAGTCAAGAGAAAGTGAGCAAGACAGAGTTCAAAGAAGTGTTGTCAGATATTTTATTGGGAATGGCTGCTGGTCTAAAACGTGACCCCATCGTCATCCTCAGGATGGACGGTGAGGATCTGTCGGAGTTCATCCACAGCTCTGGATACGAAGCTGAGATCGTCTCCGTCTACTTCTCAGCGCTCTCTGACTGCGAGGAAGCATCGCTCCGTGATTGCATCGTCAAAGCTCTCCAGTCTCTTTCTGTTGATCATGGAATGCCTCCTTCCAACGACCCATGGGTAACTTTCTTTCTTTATTTATTTAAGTTATTTCGTCTTCACCAATCTTAATTTATACAGAATATATGAACGTGCAATCCTTATATATATTTTCATAAATTTTGCAACGTATATTTAGCATAAGAAAATACTTGGTTTACCTTAAATCTCAAATTAATATAAGATAAGTTATTATTTGATGTTACATGTTGAGAGGAGTGAGCTTGTCTAAAAATTAAGCCGAGTTCTTGTTTTCAGGTAATGAGCAACATAGTAGAACCGATCGTTGACGCTTGTCTTGATGAGGAAGATAAGAGAGAGAAGAGCGTGTCCCAGGAGAGATTCTTGGAAGCATTCAAAAGAGTCGTGGAGAGAGTGGCTCAACGTCTCAATGAACAGCCCGTGATCGTCGCCCACAGCGAAAACACCTTCGATGGAAGCGGCATCAGGAGGCTCTTGTCCAACAAGTTCGAGTTCGACAAGGTAAACTTTCATACATACATATATCATGTTAAGCAAGCGTAGGGATAATTACAAGAAAGAGTCACAAGTCATAACCCATAATGTTTGGATCGTAGGCATTAAATGTTGCGTTGGAGATCATTCCAAAAGACCGTCACGGTAAGGTGTCCAAAGAGTATCTACGTGCTGTGCTCGACACTGTTGCACCATCTGCGACTTTACCACCACTTGGTGCAGTGTCCCAGGTAAATAATATCCGCTTTATATATTTTGTACTTCTCGTTTGCGTGTAACGTTCATGTTTGCATGTTATTTCCTTAGTAATGGAATGTGTGTTTATGTTGCCTTTAAAATGAAATTACAACCGGTGTAATGTTTTTGGTTTGTTAAGATGGATGATATGATAACGGAGGCGCTGAAGATGGTGAGTGCAGATGATGGAAAGGTGGTGAAGGAAGAAGAGTTTAAGAAAACAATGGCGGAGATATTGGGAAGTATAATGCTGCAGCTTGAGGGTAGTCCGATATCAGTCTCCTCTAACTCAGTGGTTCACGAGCCTCTCACTTCCTCCACCTTTCTGCCGCCGCCTCCGGCTGAAACTGAGGAACCTTCTAATTAAATTATAGTCGTTTTTAAATGGGGAGAAACAATAACAAAAAAAACGTTATGGCTTTGAGTTTTTACCCCCTATTAAGTTTTAAAATATCCGAGGAAAACCAGACTAGTTTTGGATCTATAAGGAAAAAAAAAACTCTCTTCATTTCTTTATGATGATAAGAAGAGGGGTTTTTAGTAGTGAATAGATTCAAAGCTTGTGGTGGTTTCCTTGTATGGGAGTGGTGATTATGCTCATAATGCCTTGTCTTTATTTTCATAATGAAATGCAATGTTTTTATTCTGTTTTCATTTTATTATTTTGTCTTGAAATCATGTATTCTAGTTACGTTTACTATGTCATGGGTAGCGGACAATAATCTTCCAGACACGAATTAGGTCTACGATTTCATGTTCAGCGCTAGAGTGTAAGTTTTTAACACTCAAAAGCAGGGATATCGAACCATCATATTATGTCGCTTTACTTATTCATGTTCAGTCACATGCGTATATGAATAACAACAAAAAAGAAGTTTGAATTGAATACGACTGGTTTAATTTTGTAATATGTTATGGTTTAAAAGCAAGTGTAAAAAAGGGGTTGGGTGTAGGAATTAAGACTGAAGAGTAGAATCAAGACAAAACCACTTTAGTCAAAAAAAAAAATAAAGAAGACATATGACTAGAATGGCTGTGAACATTTTCTTAGAGAACGATTTAAGGTTTGGAAAATGAAAGAGATTGTAGTGGTTTATGGTGAAATTTGAGTGTTTTTTGAAGTATGGTAAAATTTGTTAATTTAACACAGTAGTTAATTAAGTAAATTAGTATTATTACTTTGTCCACCCTTTTTTTTTTGCAAAGGGAATAATAACTACTCCCGATTCTTATAGGAGAGGGGAGGGGGCGGCTTTGTGAGAATCAAAAAGACATAACAGAGAATCGGGAGAAAGAGAGAGAAGTAATAATGGGTCCTCATGGAGATGAATCAAGTGACATCGAGAAATCTGAGGAGAGTCGTCCTAGTCGACCAATCTCCACAGTCGTCTTCGTCATCGGTACTTTTTTACTCATTTCGTATCCTTGTTTCTGTTTTGTAGATTATGACCCGATCCATTTCTTCAACTTATTCGTCTTGGCCTTGTTACTTTTTGATGCTGCTTGAGTGAAGCTATGCAAGCGGAGGCTCAACCTTTGGTCAACAAGTTTGGACTCTCTGAAACCATTTCTGATTCTCTGTGCGTTAAATTAAAGACCCCTCCTCCTTTTTCCCTGATTTTACTGATTTGCTAAAATCTGTAAACAAGTCATTTATCTTTGAGCTTGATCCTATTCTTGTGTGGGGACAGGGTTGGTGGTAAAGGATTGCCATGGGTTCTGTATCAAGGCTTTCATAAAGATCTTCATATCTATGTTGTCTGCCCCGGCAAAGATCCTGCTTCAGGCATACTTTCTTTCTCCCCCTCTTTTCTTATTAGTATCATCATTACACAATAATAAAAACACTATCATTCCTGAATTTAGTATGGTAGCTTTGTTTTTATGTCTGAATGAGAGCTTGTTGATGTTCTAAATCCTCTTATGTTAAACTAACCGGAGATGTCTCTCTCTCTCTCTCTACAGGGGTTGATAGTGTTGGAACTGTTCCATCTTCTCTCGTTACCTTTGCTTCTATCCAAGCTTTAAAACCTGATCTTCTTATCAATGCCGGTACCTGCGGTGCCTTTAAGGTTAAAGGAGCCAACATTGGCGATGTATTCCTTGCCTCTGATGTTGTCTTCCACGACCGTAGAATACCTATCCCTGTACTCTACCTTCTTCCTCTCTCTTCTCTTTTTTCACCCATTTTATCTCGCAAGTTCCTGAGTGTTTGTTCTGTCTTTTGTTTGTAGATGTTTGATCTGTATGGAGTTGGTCTACGTCCGGCATTCTCAACCCCCAATCTCCTCAAGGAACTCAGTTTGAAGGTTATTTATTATACTCAGAACTGTTTCACAATATAGTGAAAGCATATTCATAAGAGTTTGGTGTTTGTGTATCAGATTGGCAGGTTATCTACCGGTGACTCGTTGGATATGTCCACACAAGATGAAACATTGATCATTGCCAATGATGCGACTATCAAGGACATGGAGGTAACGTGGTGTTTACACCTCTCTAAGTTAATGCACCAAGCAAGAAAATCAATCAGGCTTTGAAAACCAGTTTTGGTCAAACGCTTGTTTTTTTCCTGTTCAGGGTGCTGCTGTTGCGTACGTTGCTGATCTTTTGAAAGTGCCAGTAATATTCTTAAAAGCAGTGACTGATCTGATCGACGGAGACAAACCAACGGCAGAAGAATTCTTGCAGAACTTGGCACTTGTGACCTCTGCGCTAGAAGAAAATGCCACTAATGTCATCAACTTCATCAATGGGAAAAGCCTTTCAGACCTCTAATTCTGTACTTTTGTGTTTTCTTTTACCAAGCAAACCAGGCTTGATTCTTCAAGATACTATAATCTCATTTCTGGTGATTACACTTCTCCACAATATCGACTTCAGTTTTTGAGACATGCCCTTGTTTTGTTTCAAGTGTTCTATCAATTTGGCCATGGCCATCTTTTAGGTTTGCTATTTGCTTTTTTTTTTTTCTTCTCAATCACCATTGCAGTGTCAAAAGGAAACAAGCAACTAGAATGATGTGTAAACCAACTTCAATAGTCAAAAATATACAACACAGTAAAATTAATCCTTAACCGAGTCACCTCAGACATATAAAATGGTAAAGAAAAATAGAGCTGCCTTTCCTGACTTAGAGGGGACATTACATCATTGGAGAATTCTATCTTTTTTAACTTATACTACTCCAGACGGAAGCCGGAGAACAAGCTGCCCTCCGAATACACTGCACAAGATTTTAAAACAAACTTCCCGGTTTATGCAAATAGAGAGGTAAAATAGCTTAACGGGTGGTATAGTGAAAGGCTCTATACGGTTTACCTTTTGACGTAGTAGTAACAGAAATCAGCCAGGATGAAAGTTTGAACAATCTCTGAGATGAGAACCATTGATGGCCACAATCCATATCCCAATGCCACCAGCAATCTTCCTCTCGTGTCCACCATCTGTTTTTTTTAACACATACAACATTTGTTTCACCATTCAAAACCAGTATGTACAAGGACTACTGTTGGCTTAATCTTATATTCTCAATTATATCTTGATGATAATGATCGAAAACTAACCTGTAAAACCCAGTGTGCACAGCTAAGGAACCTTGCTACTCCAAGTGCAAACACATAATGCGCCGTAAACGGTTCAACAATCTGAAACAACAACAAAAATAGACGAGTAAAACAAATATGTCTTATCTCAGTTCTTAAACTTTCTCATTGTGAAATGACCTTGGTGTTCTGCATCACTCGCAGCTGAGGCAGTACTGAAACAGCTTCAAGGTACACACATAACGCCCAAGAAATCCTGTTCAATATGTTGTGAGAGGTCGATGGATGGATCAACACAGCTAACACAACACAGGGCACAAGCTGCAAAAAAAAAAAAAATCATTACTGCCTACCCATGCTTAATACCTGAAAAAAGAAAACTTAACAGAAAAAAAAAAGAAACAGAAGAGTTACTACATAATAGAGAGCAAAGTTGTCTTTGTCCTCCATGTAACTAGCCCTTAACTTAAAACGGATCATATAAATAACCCACAGAGTTGTCCCCAAAGTAGCCAGATCCAGAATCGTATGTATGTCATATTCCATCACAAAGCTGCAATACAGCCTAACAGCTAGAAATATCGCCGTCAGCTCCTGAGATTTCAGTGACAATCCTGCAGAAAATTAATACACAAAAGTCAAGCAAAGGTATACACTTTTCCATGTGGGTTGCCTAAACCTTCGAAATAGAATGTAACCCTAAAACCCTAAACTGCAAAAATGATGATTTTTTCCACAATCTAAAAGCCAAAAAACCGTAAAAATTGGATGTTCGAAAACACATAGATAAATGAAAAAAGTTTGAATTTTTTTAAATTACCGGCACAGGTTTTTTCTTTCATGAGTTTGTAGATGAGAACACAGATCCCGATGGAGTGAACAGCTTCAGCGGCAACGAAGAGATTGTCGTGGTCGTGGACAATGAATCTGAGAAGAACCAAAGCAGCCATGCCAGTGACAACCGCCAGAAAAGCCTTCACCTTCGGTGGTTGCTTCTTCACCCATGACCACACCGCCTGGATCGGACTTTTCGTGCTCTTCATTCTCTCTTTTTTGCTTTCTCTTCCGTGTAATGACGGATTGGAGATTATAAAAAAGTCTGCTTTTTGTTGACTTTTTTTTTGCTTTCCAGTGTCTTAGCATTAAATACTAGTGGAGTCTGATTGAATCCATGGCTATAGGCCCATTATTCTTTATTCAGGCCCATATTCATAAATTTATATTTTAGATATTCTCCAGGCCCTGGGACGTGAAGGGTCTTGTGCCACTGCCACATTTCACTTGAGATAGTACTAGCTTCCCCGTTTGAGCTGTGATGGTTGCGAATCGAACAATTTGAAAAAATTGATTAGCGGATAGGGATGTGGGTTATGAGTATTTTATGTGAACGGATACGGGTTGGTGGATTTTGAATCGCGGATATCTGCTAACTCGCAATTTTTTTTTTATTTCTCTTTTTTTCTAAAATTATGTTTTTCTTTAGAATTTTTTTTAATAAATAAATATTTTTAAAATTATGGTAATTTTTAAAAAATTAAAATTAACTTTTTAAAATATATAATTTTTATTATAAATATATTATTTTTAAACGCAGTTCTCTCAAATAGCCCTCTTTAAGTTTTTATCACAAAATAGACCTCAAAAATTAAAATGACCAAAATAGCACTTTTTATTTTGAAAATTTTAATTTTTAAAATTCGAAACTCTATCTCTAAAACTTCACTCCTTAACTCTAAACAAAAAAAATCCAGGATTAGTTAACCCAAGATTATAATGTATATATAATAAAACATTTAAGTGCTATTTTAGTCATTTTAGTTGTTAAGGTCTAATTTGTGATAAAAACTTTTTTAGTTCTATTCTAGTCATTTTTTCTAAATAATTATTTATTTAAAAATATAACCCGTTGGTTACCCTAAAATTAAGCGGGGGATGCATATATAAATTTATACGTTCGCGGATTGCGTAAGTCGAATTTTTTTACAAAAAAAAAGTAACTTTTTCAACCTAGTCCTAGGTAGTACATTTTCTAACGAGATACCATGTGTTGTGGAACCTATTTACATGCCTCAATTGGTTGCAACCTAGCCCTAGACAGTACATTTTCTAACGAGATACCATGTGTTGTGGAACCTATTTACATGCCTCAGGTTGGTTGCAACCTAGCCCTAGATAGTACATTTTCTAACGAGATACCATGTGTTGGGGAACCTATTTACATGCCTCAGGTTGGTTATTATAACTTTTTTTTGGGGGGGGGGATCAAGTCTCATATCAGGTTAGGTTCGATGTGGTATGAATTCTTTATAGAGACATCCATCATTGTTAGAAACCAGTTCACAAGTTATCTAATGAGAATAATTGGTTACGTAGCATTGATACTACTTGATCACGTTTTCACCTCATATCAAACCATACGTATAGTTGACTTCATCAACCTTTGTGTGTTTACTTCTACTTTAACTTCTAACATATGACATATCTGTGAGTTTTTTATATAAACTATGTACGCTAATTTTTTACTCGGAATATGTCACTGTCTAGCATGATCTGGATGTTTTCTTGCATACCTCTCTACTTTATACAACAATTTAGTTTTCCCCTTATTTTTATGTATATACTATACATTAAACAACTTTCGATTGCTCAATCAATGTGGAACCATATACAGTTCACACATTTATGCATTTCACCTAACAAAAATAATATCACAAAAACTCACACCATGTGGGACTATGGCCTTGGTTGCTCCCAAAATTTTAGTATCATTTTTTATTGTTTGTCACTTTTTATTGCTAACCCACTCATTTATAAGTTATGGACTACTAGGCAAACGGAATTAAAAGAGTATAATTAAGTAGGGGCCAGTACAAGAAAGTGTGACTATTTCTCCACCTCTTAAATATTTAAGCTTCTCGTCTACTACCAGTCCACCAGCGGTGTGACTATTTTTTTCCATAGATATTAAAGTTTCTCTTTTAAGTTCTAGCCGTAATTATGTGCTGCACTTTACTTTTGGGTTGGTTGCACATATATACACAAACACACCCATTAACTCATTTACTGTTTTGACCTAACTTATATCGTGTGTGTGAAACAAAAGCAAAACGAAAAGGTTACAATATATGCATGGTCATCATGTAGTCGTTACATAAAATCTTGGTATTTGCTGGATGTATCGCACCAGAAAAAAGTGAGTAAAAACGATATTTTTATATGCGTATCAGTAGTTGACCCGGAAGAGAACACATTTAATATTACAGAGTTGATTAATCCGAAAACATACACATTATCTAATATTACAGAGTTGAAATACTAATGTCAGGGGATTAAACAATCTGTCTGTTACGATTCAAGTAGTGATAATTTAATTCTTATGGGTATAAAACCTATGAATAAAAACCATATTTATGTATCCAAAGGTTCTTGTGATAGAAGTTATACTATATGTGTATCGGGCAATAAGGTTGATAGGGGAAAGAAAAGGTAGATCTAAATGCATTTGTCTTAATTAAGAAGATAAATAAACAAATGTAAAGTCAAATTGTTTGAACGTACTGCACGAAAAGTATGATAAACTGTATGTACAACCTATAAGATGGACCATGCATGACATTAATTAAATAAAACGATACCAGATAAAATAGACCGCCGAATCCAATTATTGCTGGTAAAAAAATATAAGAAGTAACATTTAAGACCCATCTTTGGAACAAAAAAAAAAAGAAGACCCATCTTTGGAAATTGTTTAAAATAAAAAACCATTATATAACGAGAGAGATCTTGACCACTAATACTTGATCATATGATTCATATCATATAGTTTCTTTCTTCTTGTAAACTTTATATTTACAGGAAACGAATTAGGGTACGTAGTGTGTCAGAAAGATCAGAGGGTGAGAATCCCAATGAGGATCTTACCCAAACCTCGAGGATCAGTTCCGTGCCTCCTCCTCGTGTTGGTTCTATTTTCAGCGACACTCTCTCTCGCTCGTGTCGTCGAAGTTGTTGGTTACGCCGAGAGCAAGATCAAAAATCCCCATGCATTCTCAGGTGACCACATTAATAATAACTTTCTCTTATAAAATATATCTAGTTTTCTGTTGTGTGGTTATCTGATTAATGTGTGGTTGTTACTTGTTAAAGGACTCCGAGTGACGATTGAGTGTAAGGTGAATAAAGGCCATTTTATTACGAAAGGTTCCGGAAACATTGACGAGGAAGGAAAGTTCGGTCTGAAAATTTCTCCACATCATGACATTGTCTCTGACGACGGAGCTTTAAAGGAGGAGTGTTATGCTCAGCTTCACAGCGCGGCGGGAACACCTTGTCCTGCTCACAACGGCCTTGAATCCAACAAGATCATGTTTCTATACAAATCCGGAGACAAACACGTTTTGGGTCTCAAACAAAATATGAAATTCTCACCTGAACTTTGCGTTTCAAAATTCTTTTGGCCTATGCCTAATAAGTTCCCTCCTTTTAAGGGATTTGATCATCATTTCCCTTTACCTCCACCTTTGGTGCTTCCACCGTTTCCTAAGTTCAAAAAACCTTGCCCACCTCCGGTTCCGGTTCACGAGCCACCCCCAAAGGTAGAGCTTCCCCCACCTGTCCCGGTTCACGACCCACCGGTTCCTAAGAAGTCTTGTCCTCCTAAACCACCGAAGATTGAGCACCCACCTCCGGTTCCGGTTCACAAGCCACCACCAATCCCCAAGAAGCCATGTCCGCCAAAGCCGCCGAAGATAGAGCTTCCACCGCCGGCTCCCGTCCACAAACCACCGCCTAAGAAGCCTTGTCCGCCCAAGTCACCTAAGAAAGTTGATCCACCGCCAGTTCCAGTCCACAAGCCGCCACCGAAGATTGTCCTTCCACCGCCGGTACCAGTCCATAAGCCACCAAAGAAGCCGTGCCCGCCCAAACCGCCAAAGATTGAGCTTCCACCACCAGTTCCAATCCCGAAGAAGGCGTGTCCTCCGCCGGTACCAATCTACGTGCCACCGGTGGTGATTCCGAAGAAGCCATGTCCACCACTTCCACCACTTCCACCTAAATACTTTCACCACCCCAAGTTCGGCAAATGGCCTCCCTTACCAACACACCCTTGAGAAATTAATACGTATATTCGTATGTACTCAATGTGTTTTTTTTTTCCCAATATTATCGTGCATGTTTAATATTTCATTTGTTTTTATCTTTTTTCATCTTTGGTTATTTTCTGTCCGAGTTATATATGTGTAGTCCGTTGATATTTCAGCAATAATATTGTAAGGATTCCTTTCTCTGTTATTAAGCGATGAAGATGATGATCAGCTTAGTTCAGTGTAGTCATTTGAAACCAGGATACAAATATATATATATTTTTTTTAAATAGTATCATCACACACATCAAGCATGCAAAACTAAGTTTGACACATATTATTATGAAAAAATAGAGATCAGATGAGTGGGGTTTATAAAAGATGAAGTGTCATAAATTCTACTTTCACATTCATAGAAAAAAATATAAAGTAAGAATTTTACGTATCTTTGAATATATATATGTTTGTGTGTTTCAGTTTGGTTGTAATATTTTCAGGATATAAAAATTCAAAAAAAAAAACCAAAACACAAACAAAACCCAAAACAGAATATGGGCTTTTAGAAAAACATCCGCTGGGTTTTAGGCCTATTTTATTTCATTTTTTCTTACAAAAGAACATCTGAAAAGCGCGAAATTGAAAAAAAATAAATCAAAATCTAAAAATCTCGATTTTTTTTGGTCTCTTTCTCTCTAGGGTTTAAGCAGCGCTGCGGGAGTGTTGTGTGTTTCAGTGAATGTCGAACCCTAAATCCGTCGATCCGTCCCTCTGGTGGGATTCGTTTGGATCTCTTCTAAGCGAGCTCGAGAATGCATCTCTCTCCGATGAACTCCCTCCCCCCATCGTAACATCTCTCTCTCACTCTATCCTCTTCTTGTATGCGATATGTGTTTTCTCTAAAATTGGTTTTGGTATCTCTCAAATTCAAATTCAAATTCAAATTCAAATTCAAATTCAAATTCAAATTCAAATTCAAATTCAGGAGAAGAAGTTGGAGGAAAACCACGCGTGGTTCGTTAACACTCTGTCGATGTTCAAACCGCCGAGTGCGAAATCGAAAGAGGCTTTGGATTCGGATGTAGTGAAGATTAAGGAGCACCGGTTGGTGATTAAGCCTGAACTCAAAGAGAAAGCGCTTCGAATCAGCTCTCATCTGGTTAGCTATTCAGCTCTAACGATTCTTATACATATCATTCGGTTTAGATGAAAGAAGAATTATCTGATTTGTTGTGAAAAATGTGACAGAATCTAGATGAAATCCAATCATACATACTCGTGGAAAGATCTACGGAGCAGGAACATGGAAAAACCGACGCTCAAGATTTCGTTGTCATGGTTAGTAGTACCTTACAGCTTCTTTTTTGATACTTATCAGTCTTTTTTTGTTTGCATATGTATCACTGGCTTGTTGCTATCATTGCCATATCTCCAGTAGTCACAAACCAGCTTTGTTTCTTTTTTGTATCAAGTTCTGCATATCATTATAATGTAATTGCCCGTCCCTATATAGTTTGTAAGCTGTTAGTAATGCACCCCTTATATCTTCATCTTTAATGTTAACACCTTTGCTTTCCTTCTGTTCCAATTCTATTTTTTGAAGATATTGCTTCAGTATTACATGGAACGCCAGTGCCTACTCAAGTGTACTAAGCGTATTCTCACCCATGCCTGTAAGTCATTTTTTATTTATTTTTTGCAGTATTTAGATGAGATTAATGAGCACATTCTTCATTTCTGTTTTTTTTTTTTTTTGCAACTGATTGTGGTGGCATTTGTACAGTATACACAGCAAGAGAGAAAAGTGCTATTAGGGACGAATGTGTAAAGCTTATCTCGGATGGTCTTGAAAGACAACTATCATCAGTTCTTGAGAATCTTTTCTCCTCTTCTTTTCCACAGAAAATGGTATGTGTTCGCAGTGCTTGCCCTTCTTTTTTGGAATATGCTGAATTTACAGCTCCAGTTCTGTTATTTTAGTTAACATTGCCGGTCCAAATGTGATTTTATTTACAATTTTTTTTTTTAGGATGTCAATCTATTTAATTTGTGGGCGGAGGAGATACTAATTGAGGACAGTTTGGTGTTGGATATTCTTTTCCTTCTTTATCATGAATCATTTCACACTTGTAATGGAGAAAGATGGAGGACACTGTGTTCCTTGTACAAGGTATCTTGAGTTATTAGCCACATGGTCAAGGGCCCAAGCCCGCTTTTTCAGTTTTTCTGAAACCAGCCTTATTAACTCATAAGTGCTGTGCCACAGGGAATTATTTTGGGCTCCTACAGCTTTAGGAAGCTGGCAGTGTCAGCTGAAGCACAGCATTCTGCATGCCGTGTAAAAATTCAGTTGTTGATGATTCTTATCGACACGCTGGATATGGAGAATTTGTTACAAATGGTTCATGACGGAGTACCTTTCAGGTTTGTTTATCTAACTCTTGATGAACACTGCAAGAGAAAGTTAACTTTCTTCGAACATGACACATAAAGAGCAATTTCCCTAATTTCTATCGATATGGTCTAAAGGTTATATTTCTCTTCAAGGTCTGGCGCTTGTGCTTTTTCCATTATTGATGTGCAAGAGATGGATGCAACAATCTCTAGCCTCAACACTCTCGAAGTAAAAGAAGCAGGACCTCTAGTCCTTGCATGGGCAGTATTTCTGTGTCTTATTTCATCACTTCCTGGGAAGGAGGAAAGTCCTTTCCTGATGGTATGAATGTGAGAAAGTTCCATCTATTCAGAGGACACACGTAATTCATGTATATATAATTAATTTCTCTTGATAACCAGGAGATAGATCACGTGAGCTATGTTCATCAAGCTTTTGAGGCAGCATCATTGAGCTATTTCCTTGATGTTCTTAAAAGTGATGTGTTGAATGATTTCGATGTAAGTTAACAGATTAAACTTCAGTTACCGAGCGTGGCTTAGGGTGTTTTCTACTTTTCTTATTATTGGCATTTTTCCTTTTTCGGCATTTGTTTATATTTCAAACAATGTTTTATGTTACTTAGCCTCTGCAAACTTTGTTCATGTTTTATGTAGGGACCAATCTCTGGTTTTCGTAGTGTCTTGAGGACTTTTATTTCAGCATTTATTGCGTCATATGAAATCAATATTCAGGTATAACTCCATCACTGTGGATAATGAATTATATATTTGTAGACTGTTTCAGAATATTACTCATCAACATTTTGGCAGCTAGAAGATGCCAATCTGGATCTGATACTGGACATCCTTTGCAAGGTTTATCAAGGAGAGGTATGGTTTCTGCATGTTATCTTTAAAGTTTTCCTCTATGGTACACATCTATAAATGCTTGTCGTGTGCCGTAAATTTTCAGGAGTCCCTCTGTAGTCAGTTTTGGGATCGAAAAAGTTATGTTGATGGCCCTATTCGGTGTATTCTCTTTGATTTGGAGAGTGAATTTCCGTTCAGAAGTGTTGAATTCATTCGTCTCTTAGCGTCCTTGAGTGAAGGAAGTTGGCCTGCTGAATGTGTGTAAGTAGTAATCTGACAATAAACTATGTGCACCTATGTACTTTTTTTCTGGAACTTTTCTTTCTGGACGAAAGCCATTTTATACTCTGCACTCATCAGTCTAAGCTTACGTTTGCCTACCATCAACCTGCTGTAATCTGCGATGCTTTCTCTGTGCAGATACAACTTTCTGGATAGATCAGTCGGGATATCAACCTTATTTGATATTACTAGTGACTCTCTAGTAGATGATGCTTCCCAGCTAGTTGAAACTTCCCAGCCGTTGCAAATTCCAGGTCTTGAAGGTTTAGTTATTCCCAGCAATACTCGTGGGCGAATTCTGAGAGTAATCAATGAAAACATTGGCCTTGTGCGGTGGGAGGTAAACGATATCTCAAAGACAAATTCTCCAGCGTTCTCTCTTTTATGATGTTAGTGCTATTAAATGGTTTATTTTGAAAAATACTGATTCATGAAATACATTTTCTTTTCCAAGTATTCACTCTCTGGCGCTACAGTGTTGATCATCCATTTGGCCAATGTACTCTACACTGGTAACAATCGTGAAGCGTTTGTGATTCTAGAGCTGCTTCGTCGATTGGTAACATTTAACAAGGTAACTGCATTGCTCCATCCTATTTTCTTTAATTGAGGTTTATGAATTATTGGGTGCTTTAGTATTTGTACACCATGACATAGACTATGGTTTTGTCTTGCGTTGAATCAAATTCTTCTCGGAGCATTTTCTTAAAATTCTAATCCAAGGACCCACGGCTGTATGTTTGTCAATTTATAGATGTGCTCCCTTGTTTTTTTCTTCTCTGACCATGACCATGCCTTATTAATTGATTTCAGGCCGTTTGTTTCTCCTTACTGAATATCAGTCACTTCTTTCATAATGAATCTTACATGAATGAGAAGCTGGAAAGTGATGTGAGGTGAAGTACTTGCATTTTATTTCCTCATAATACGCTCTATTCCTTGGATGCTTCAAACGAGATCTCTCTGTGATTTTTACAGAGTGGTTGATATACTTTGCAATTCAGTCAGAAGCTTGAATTTTGACTCTACCGGTGCAGCTATGATGGCAATGGCTATTGATATCTTAGCTAAGCTGTTACGATGGTAATTTCTTGTCTTGGTTATCGAAATTTTTCTCCAATATGCCATTTTTATGAAATATCTGCCTTACTATTATCTGTCATGTGCAGCATCTTGGCATATAATGTTCGTTTGAATTTGGTATAAGTTCTATGTGGAACTTTGGTATCTAATTTAATTTTTTTTTTTTGAACAGTTCCCCATCAAATGTTGCTCCCATGGTTTTAAAGGCAAATATATTTGACATGACTTCAGGGTCAGGCGTCTCAGATAGTGGATACAGTATTTCTTTGAGGTTAGACCACAAATATCACATACAGTGTCCTATTTTATAGTTTAGTTGATTTTTCAAATATTTCGTACTCAGTTATAGACCGTACCCATGGAAGTTTAGGATACTTATTTAATTTAGAAGAGGCTCATTATTAAAAAGTACTAGTTTTTTTGCCGAGTAATACTCTCTGGCTGCTTTCTAAGTTCTGATGGTATGACAACATTTTTCTCTTGTTGTTGTACAAAAAAAAGTGGATCCTGGTCGCTCTCCGGGAAACTGGCAAAAATGATCTTGATTGATTTGGAGAAGAATGATACAAGCTGCCCATTGATTGTATCAGGCAAGTTTGTCGTAATATATTGTTGGATGTGTAATCTGCTTGACTGTCTTGATTCTCTGTTTATGTAAACTGTCGCCTTTGTATTGCAGTTCTGGAATTCACCATGCAGCTTGTGGAAGGAGGAGTGGAGAATGATGTAGTACTTGCTCTAATTGTTTTCTCGTTGCAGTATGTTCTTGTTAGTCATGAGTCTTGGAAATACAATCATGGGCATATGCGTTGGGATGTGACGCTAAAGGTATCTTGATAAATAAATACAATACCCCCCAACCCCTAGGGGTGGGGTTAACCCTAAACCCTCCTCTTCTACTACCAATCGGCATATTTTTGACTTGGTTATTTGAGTGTACGTCTTCCTATAATTTCTTATGATATCTTCTCTTTTTTTTTGGGTCGGGTTCTCCAGGTCATTGAAGTGATGAAAACGTGTCTCAGATTCAGTAAATTCTCCACCAAGCTGAAAGATGTTATCCTTGATATCTTGCTGAACGATGCCTCTGTTCACAATGCTCTCTTCCGAATCATTTGTACAACTACACAAACTTTAGAGGTCAGGATATACTCTGGATTAGTCTTTATTTTACAGTCCTAATCTGAGATGCGTCAATTGATTCCTGTTCTGCTTCGTTGAGACAGAACTTTTGTGCAAGCCGTTTTATTGAACCAGCAGAGATTGAAGGATGGCAACTTTCCATAGTCTCTGTTTTGGATGTTTTAGACATCACGCTCTCCCAATTTTCTCAGGTAAATGTGGTGTCTCGTCACAAACCTTTTTAAAACCTTAACAAGTACATACATACTATAACAGAAAATAGCAACTGTTTACTTTTTCAGTTGAAGATTTCTTCAAGGTGATCTTGAGTAAACTCTTACGATTTTAGTTTTGCAAATTTAGCCAAAATACATCGAATCAGCTATTATTTTTTTCTCACTGTAATGTATGTGTTCGGTTATACTTGTTCCGTTCCAGGCATTGTGGAAGTTGATAGTTTGCTATAAATTGTTGCAGAGTACAGATTCTGGTCTTCCCGTGTTACATCAAACTATCCTGTCGTCTACAGCTAAACCAGTCCCAGTTGTGGCAGCTATCACATCGCTGATATCTTACTTTCGGAATCCTGTATGAACTTCATCAATAAATTCGCAGAAGTTGATACTTTGACCAATTACATGTCTAAAAATCAAATGTTTCATGCAGATTATCCAGGTTGGTGCTGCTAAAGTACTTTCAAAGTTATTTGCCATGGCAGAATCATCACAACTCTATATAATAAGCAAAGCAGGCTTTGGACTAGACGATAAACAGGTTAGAATTACATCTCCCTTTCCTGTTAGTTCGTTCATCTGGTATGTTACTATGTTCTGCTGTATATACATATAGATCAATTTATAGCCTTTTTAGATCACAGATTTAAGAACATCGGTTAGCCAGATCATACTTGATCTATCGGAACCAAATGAAGACCTAGTCATTGCCACGATGAAACTACTAACTGTTGCGGCAAGATATCAGGTTACCTCCAATTCTTTGATTTTCTTAGAAGCCTTTGGGGTTATTTAAATCGCTGTTTGTGCCACGCAATTTATCTTCTTGGAACCATTTGGATTCTCCAGTTTAATCATACTGAGTTTCTTTCTTTTCAGCCTGCTCTTTTAGTTGCCCTATTTGATTCAAGCGAAGACTCAGATGCTGGTAAGTTAAAACAGCCAGACAAAGAGGATTCCTCAGGTCCTGGATTGGCTTGTAAATCTCGATTACTGCACACTATCCTGCAGCATGTTGAGAGAGCAACTGATTTTATCAATAGGTACGTTAAAGGATGAAATATATTTCAATCTGTTTTCTACACCGAATTTCTATAAGATGACCTGTATTCCTGACATACTTTTGCTGATGGTCTCCCGTACTCCAGATACACGGATATATTACTGAGTTTACTTGGTTTTCTTAAAACCCTGTGGCAAGAGGCTGGCCAATACGCGAATTTGTTGGAACCATTTAAGGCGTCAAAAAGGTTGTGGCAGGAATTTTCCAACATCACAACCCAGGTGTCGAAGCTAAAGGATTCGTCAGTTGAAAGATTAGGGAAAGAAGAAATCTCTAAGTTGTATGTGAAATGTCAGTGTCAGTCTTCTGTTTTGGAAATTCTGGCGTGCAACATGTTTTTGAACAAGAAATTGTTGTTTGCCGAGTCACTTAAAAAATCATGCTTAGAGCAGAAAGAGAAGACAAATAACGCTGCCTCACCATCCAAATTATCTCTGACAGCTGCTTCAGATCCCAAGGATATCTTTTCAAAATGGTGTGATGTATCTGTTTTAGATGGCCTTATCCAGTCAGTTTCATCTTTAGATGGTGAAATTGAAATAAACGTACAGTCAAAGGTTCGTATTCTCTCCGGCATATCCTTTACATGTAGAGCACAGCCACAATTGAGTAGAGTTTGTCACACTTCGCAGCTTCGTTTAGGTTCTCCACCTTTCAGAAATAGTGATTCTAAATTGCTCATTTCTGCATTGATAGGTTGCCGGCGTTTTACTTATTGTGCATTTGATTGTGAAACTGGAAACATCTGGCGCAGGAGCATTGTCTATGTCGTTAGTTGGGAAGATCAAAGTCATTTCAGAAATGGTATGTTCCTCTCTTTTGAATCAAATTATATCTTTGGTCTCTTCGAAACACTTTTGAACGGCTTGTCTAATATAATTCTGACGTCTGTTGCTGACAGCTTCGTGTCCAACCTGCTTTTTCTGAGTTGTTGGCACAATATTCAAAGCTTGGTTATAGGTAAGTATTGTTTTATACGTTGTTACTTAATTTAACAATTCTACCAGGGGCTGCATGCTACTCTTTGTGACATTTAATCATTCGTTCTCCTATTATTCATATCATCAGTTCTTACTTATCATCGTTTGTGTTCTATTGCTAGTGGAGGGAAAGAGCTGATGCCGATGATTCTCAGCGACCTATACTGTCATCTGCAAGGGAAACTTGAGGGTCGTGATATCCCAATTGGTCCATTCAAAGAGCTTTTCCAGTTTCTAGTTGTGTCGGGATTTTGGGAGAAATACAAACAGAGAACTGATATGGACAAAAATATGGATTTGGGGGACAATATTTTGTTTGACATTCAGCACATACGAACAGAATTAGGTATTGCTATTTGGGATTTTTCTGAGTGGAAGACATCTAAAGCAACGACGGAGGAAATGCTGAGTTACATGCAGAGAGCAAACTCGATGGTTTTAATCTCAACTTCGCAGGTCTCTGCTTTGCATGCATTGATATCCGTCTTGATTCTTTACGAGGATAATGTAAGTTTCTTTGTTCTATATAGCTATGCTGCACTCTGTCTTTAATATGACTTGTCCCACGTACAGTCATGGGTTTGGATTGTCCTTCCAGTTAACATATTAGTCGATAACTAAACCAAACATATTAGACCGTGGAATCGTTTCATGTCTTAATTCATGCTTTAGAAACTTCTAAACCCTACACCTTTTGTGCAGTCTCTTGAAGACAGTGTAGCTGTAGAAAGGAAAGTCCCTGCTCGAGTCACTCTTTCAAGCATTGATGAAGTGTGCAAACAATTCTCCACCAGGGTTGATTCACTTGCCTCTCTCTGGGATGCCCCCAAGATTGTGTTCGATATACTCACAGCACAGGTAGACTTGCTGTCCCGGCTTTTGAAATCCACAAAGAAAAAGCTGCCATTATCTGTTTGTGCACTTGTCCTGAGAAATGTTGGGCCTGCCCTCAAAATCCTCGGTAGTTTGAGGCATTCAAGTGCTATATTAAAGAAGACGGTAAACCTCCTACTAGAGGTGCTGCTACTGGTTGTGGGTTTTGGTTCAGGCAGCTCAAACTCAAGTGAGATAGGAGATATGGCAGCAAGAGATCTTGCAGATATATCTGATGCGACAATTGGATTATTACCCCTTCTCTGCAACTTGATGGGGAATCCCGAGTACTTGACTCTCTGCCTGACCACGGTAGACTTGACTCTCAGAAATTTTTTGACGCCAGAGACATGGTTCCCAATTATACAGAGTCATCTCCGCTTGCAGCATGTTATACTGCAGCTTCAGGATAAGAAATCCTCGGCATCCGTTTCAGCAATAATGAAGTTTTTCTTAACTATTGCTCAAGTTCATGACGGTGCTCAGATGCTTCTAAATTCCGGATTTTTCTCGACTCTAAGAGCTTTGTTCATTGACTTGCCAGATGGAATGTCTACATTAGTATCTGACAACGAGAAGGGAGGGTTGCTTGATAAGACAGAAAAAACGCAGCAAATCTGGGGAATCGGTTTGGCTGTGGTTACGGCGATGGTTAATTCTCTAGGATCAGTTTCTGTGGGTGCGGATATAGTTGAGAGCGTAATATCTTACTTTTTCTCCGAGAAAGGTTACATGATCTCTTATTATCTGTCTGCGCCGGATTTCCCTTCTGATGGTCGTGAAAAAGTGAGACAAAGAACTCAACGGACATGGACATCCCTTGCTTATCTGAGAGAAACCGAGCATACTCTCCTTATGATGTGTGCATTAGCAAGCCACTGGAGATCATGGGTTAAAATAATGAAGGAAATGGATTCTCCGTTAAGAGAAATGACTATACATCTCTTGGCTTTTATCAGCAAAGGCGGTCAACGCCTCAGAGAGTCTCATATCAAAACATCTCACCTGTTATGCCCTCCAGCAGTGAAAGAAGAGTTCGATTCCTGCAAAAGACCATCCGTAATTAACAGTAAACACGGATGGTTTGCTCTAGCACCGTTAGTTTGTGTCGGGAAACCCAAGCTTGGCGCATTATCAATCTCGACTGCTCTAGTTGTTAGGGGACAAACGACAGAACCGGGATCTGTTCCTCAGTCACACTTTACAGACTCGGTTGCGGTACAGATTTATAGAGTGGCTTTTCTCTTGTTAAATTTTCTATGTTTACAAGCAGAAGGTGTTGTTAAACGGGCAGAGGAAGTAGGATATGTAGATCTTGCTCATTTCCCTGAGCTTCCAGAGCCGGAGATTTTGCACGGTCTACAGGTATGATATAGTAACTCAGAGAGAGGACAAGCACGATGTTTTTTGGTTTTTGCCCGTTTTCTAACAATTTTGTATTTTAAAATGCAGGACCAAGCCATAGCGATTGTCGCTGAGCTCTGTGATAATTACAAAGAGGTTCCTGATGAAGTCAAGTCGCTGTGCCTCTTGTTGCTCCAAATAACAGAAAAGTCGTTATATTTGGAACTCTGTGTAGTTCAGGTTTGCAGGATCCATCAAGTCTTTGGCCGTGTGGATAACTTCTCAAAAGAATTCAAAAAGCTAGTGAAAGGTAACAATCAATTGATTTGATGATTTTAGGATGTGCACGATCAATTTAGTTGCAAGGTGTGAAAAAAATGGTTGGTCGTAACATTTACTTATTTCTTATGAGCAGCTGCAGAAGTGCATGCGTACTTGGAAACTTCTATGGATTCACTGAAGAAAATAGCTGTGTTTCTGTATCCCGGATTGCTATAGGTACGAGAGAACTTTTTTTAACATGGAGACTTGTTTGTTCTTTAGGGACTGAGTGTGTGACCAATGGTATTATTGGGGCATTGACCATATGTAAGTCAAGATAATAGATGCTTTTGCATGTATAAACTTTTATGTTGGGCTCATGCTGACCACTCCTTTTGGACTGTTCGTCACGTAACGCCGTTGCTTTCATATGTTATTCGCCTTTACCTCTCAACAAATTCTTTTGATTGGCTTCTCTCATTACAGACCGCAGAGAGTGCACTTCCGAATAATCAATCCTCTCTTCTTTTTCTATATGTTCAACTTTTATAAATTATTATTCTCGATCTTTCTGGTTTTCAAATTCACGTCATGTGTAATACTGTTATATGGAACGTTAGTAGACACGTGTTGCACGTTAGGCAGGGCCAGGGGCATATGCCAAGTCTGAGATACTCATATGATCCAATTTCTGCATGACCCAGTGATCAGTAAAACTCCTAAACTTAACCACGGTTAAGTCTTCAGCAGCTGTTGAGAACTTCCAACGTGTATCAATCTCGTGGCCACAATCATACCCTCTTCCGCTATAAATTAGCACCTCACCAACCTCTATATCCATTGGCAACTGAAGACAAATATCTCAAAGCTCTCTATCAATCGACAATGGCGTTCCCTAAGGTTTTCTTCGACATAACCATCGGTGGCCAGCCAGCCGGAAGGATTGTGATGGAGTTGTATACTGATAAAACTCCCAAGACGGCTGAAAATTTCAGAGCACTCTGCACTGGAGAGAAAGGAGTGGGGCGCAAGGGAAAGCCACTTCACTTCAAGGGGTCTTCCTTCCACCGTGTGATCCCTAGTTTCATGTGCCAGGGTGGTGACTTCACCGCTGGAAACGGGACAGGAGGTGAGTCCATCTACGGTGAAAAGTTCGAGGACGAGAACTTCGAGAGGAAGCACACTGGTCCTGGTAACCTTTCCATGGCAAACGCAGGTGCCAACACCAACGGATCTCAGTTCTTTATCTGCACAGTCAAAACTGATTGGCTTGACGGTAAGCACGTGGTGTTCGGACAGGTTGTGGAAGGGTTAGACGTGGTGAAGGCGATAGAGAAGGTTGGATCTTCGTCTGGAAAGCCCTCGAAGCCGGTGGTTATCGCAGATTGTGGACAGATCTCTTAGATTGATGTCATCTATCCTCATTTTAATTATAGCGTCAGTGTCCTTGTCTTCCCCCTCCTAGTGTTATGTTTGGTGTCTCGTTTGTATGATGTGTAGTCATAAGCTTGGCGTGTGTGTGTGTGTGTTCTCATGGCAGTCTTTTGGATTGACAGAGAGAAACTAGTCACCCTTTAATTAACTACTACCATAAATAAATGAGCTTGAATAAAACATGAAACTCGAGTCAAACAGCCGAAGATAAGCAAGTTTGTAAATACTGTTCTTCCTGGCTGGTGTTTTACGGATAATTATAACTACTCCGATCTCGGTAAGATTTGGGTTCTTTGGCACCCAAGTGTTAACGTGATCATCCTTTCAAAATCTCTGCAGCAAGTTACTTGTGAGGTTTCTCTACCACTTCACAAAGAGACCATCATTATCACCATTGTGTATGCAGCAAATGATAAAAAACTCAGGGCTGGGCTTTGGGTGGAGCTTGAATCTCTAGCTACCTCCCCTCTCCTCGCTGATAAACCTTGGTCAGTTCTAGGTGATTTTAATCAGACGCTTACTCCGCAGGAACATTCTTCTCCGACATCACTAAATATGGATAAGAGGATGCGTGAATTTGGCCAGTGCCTTCTTCATGCTGAGTTGAGTGATCTAAACTTCAGGGGCAACACTTTCACGTGGTGGAACAAACAGAAGTCAAACCCTATTGCGAAGAAGCTTGATAGAGTTCTAATTAATGATAAGTGGCAGGAGTGTTTCCCCACTTCTCTTGCTTTGTTCGAAGATCCAGATTTCTCCGATCATGCGTGTTCAACAGTTACACTGCAACCGAGCTTTCAAAGGAAGAAGAGACCATTCAAGTTTTTAACTTCCTGCTTCAGAATCCGGACTTCATTTCTACTATAACAGAGGAATGGTTCTCTATAAATGTAAGGGGATCAGCTATGTACCGGCTCGCTGAAAAGTTTAGAATCTTGAAGAAGTGTATTAGAGAATTCAGCAAAGATAACTATTCTGACTTGGAAAAAAGAGTTGCAGAGGCGCATCAGGTTCTGCTGTTAAGACAAAACGAAACATTGCAAAACCCCACCACCATAAATGCTGAAATCGAGTTGGAAGCTCAACTGAAGTGGCAGGAGTTAGCATATGCTGAACAATCTTTCCTTCTCCAGCGATCCAGAATCCTCTGGCTAGGCAACGGAGATGCTGGTACAGCCTATTATCATCGAATGGTGGCTACTCGTAAAGCCATAAACCATATCCACCATCTTACTGACACGGCTGGCAACAGATATGACACTCACACAGAAATTGAAGCTCATTGCGTGGAATATTTTTCTGACCTGTTAGGTGGCCTAACTGAGCCTCAGATGTTTATACAGGAGGATCTTAATATCCTCTTTGATTTCACTTGCTCTCAGGAAGATCAGAATATGTTTGTTGCGGGATTCTCTGGTCAGGATATCAAGGATGTGTTTTTCTCCCTTCCCAGGAACAAAACAAGTGGTCCTGACGGTTATTCATCTGAGTTCTTCACCTCGTGTTGGCAGATTATTGGACCGGAAGTAATCGAAGCAGTACAAGAATTTTTTAAATCAGGGTCCATGCTGCGCCAATGGAATGCAACAACGCTGGTTCTCATACCGAAGATCACTAACGCATCGTCTACTTCAGATTTTCGACCAATATCTTGTTTAAATACAGTGTACAAGGTGGTCTCTAAGCTGATCTCCAATAGGTTAAAAGCGGTGCTCCCTTCAGTGATTTCGCAAGCCCAGTCTGCTTTTATGCCTGGTAGGCTGTTAGCAGAAAACGTCCTCCTAGCAACGGACCTGGTCAAAGGGTACAACTCGAGCACATCTGAATCTAAAGCCATGTTAAAAGTGGACCTAAGAAAGGCTTTTGACTCTATCAGATGGGATTTTATCTTGGGAATTTTAAAAGCAATCTCTGTCCCAGATATTTTCATCAACTGGATCTCTCAGTGTATCTCGACAGCCTCCTTCTCGGTGTCTATAAATGGCACCTCTGGTGGATTCTTCAACAGCACCAAAGGCATTAGACAAGGAGATCCTATGTCACCCTACTTATTTGTGTTGGCTATGGAGGGGTTAACTCGGCTTCTTCAGTACAGATATGTTTCAGGTTCTATTGGCTATCACCCCAGGACCTCTGACCTTAAAATAACCCATCTGATGTTTGCCGACGACGTTATGATCTTCTTTGATGGTCGCAGTGACTCACTTCACGGTATAACGGAGTGTCTTGACGATTTTGCTTCATGGTCGGGTCTGATTATGAATAGAAATAAAACTGAACTTTTCTACACAGGACTGGACCTTAGTGAAACCAATGCTCTTGCTGCTTATGGTTTCCCTACAGGTACACTTCCCGTCAGATATCTAGGACTCCCGTTGATGAGTCGTAAGCTGCGTGTTTCTGAATATGAGCCACTTATGATCAGGATTACCTCTCGATTCCAATCGTGGGCAGTTAAAGTTTTATCATTTGCGGGTAGACTGCGATTAATTGCTTCAGTCATATATGGTACTGTCAACTTCTGGATGTCTACTTTCATTCTCCCCAAAGGATGTATCAAGCGGATTGAATCGTTGTGTTCTAGATTCTTGTGGTCTGGAAACACGGATACCACTGGTAAAGCGAAAGTCTCATGGTATAATGTCTGTATGCCAAAAGCAGAGGGAGGACTAGGCCTGCGAAACTTACTAATCTGGAACCGAGTGTTGTGCTTGAGATTTATTTGGCTTTTGTTCTCTGATAATGCTTCGCTATGGGCACAATGGCACCGTCACCAACACAATAACCAGAGCTTCTGGGCACTGCAGGAGTCAGATTCTGATTCATGGACTTGGAAGCAATTCCTAAAACTCAGAGCTGAGGGTATCAAATTCATTAAGCCTATTCTTGGAACAGGTCATATAATCAGCTTTTGGTATGATATCTGGACTCCTTTTGGACAGCTTATTAATTTTCTTGGAGAGAGGGGACCCTCACAGCTCAGGATTCATATCAACGCAACTGTGGCTGAAGCATGTTCTTCAACTGGTTGGATTCTTCCTTCTCCTAGATCAAACCAGGCACTTGACCTTCACATCTTCTTAACATGTATTCAGTGCCCAACTTTTTCTGACGTCCCAGACTCTTATGTTTGGGTCACTTCAGCGCGGGAAGAGCCGAGGTTCAACGCTCGTAACACTTGGGAAGACATGAGACCATCACTCCCAGTACAACCTGCAGTTGACGTAATTTGGTTTAAAGGAGCTATTCCCAGGAATAGTTTCACTATGTGGGTTGCTAACATGGACAGATTACCAACGAGAGTTCGTTTGGCTTCTTGGGGACTTCAAATTAATACATCATGTTGTTTATGCTATGCTCATGAGGAATCAAGAGACCACTTATTCCTCTCATGTGTTTATAGCTCTGAAGTATGGCGTCTTTCTATTGCAGGGCTCAACCCGCCTCACACCATGTTCTGTTCTTGGCCAGAACTCCTGTCATGGATTAGAAGTTCATCTACTTCTGCACCAACTCTGCTAAAGAAGCTGGTGGCCCAGTGTACGATCTATCACCTTTGGAAACAAAGGAACAACAAGTTGCATAACCAGATTACTCAGTCTCCATCAGTGATCTACAGATTCATTGACAGAGAAATGCGAAACACTATCACTGCTAGGAGGAACAGGAAGCAATTCCATAACCTCATGGCCAAGTGGATGCACTGATTTTCTTTTAGTTCATCCTCCTTTGTTATAATCTTGTTTTTATCTTTTTTTGCCAAGATGTAACATAAATTAGGTCTACTTGCTTGTAAATCCTAACTTTCATTATTATGATATTTACCTTTTAGCAAAAAAAAAATGTGTTGTTGACGCTAGAGACATTATCAAATCATCATTAATATCATTAATCTATCCGCGTGAGATATTCCAGTGGCATGGCCGCATGGCAACTAAAGAAAACAAATATATAGGGCTAAGTGTAATGGGCCTTGAAGATATGATTTTTTGACAGTTATCCATTAAGGCCCGTAAATTGAGGCCTCAGACCCAATTGGAAGGGTGAAAAATAAATAAAAAATGAAAGGATATTTAAGAAACAGACGCATATGGGTTCGGTCTAAATCTCAGAAGTGTACCTGACTTTCTCTCTACGACACAATTTGAAGAAGAAAGCTTCTCACAATGGTTCTCGAGGTAATTTTCGAATTCTAATTTCTCGGTGGATCTAACTGTTTGATTCTTACTTAATAACTGTGTTCTGATTTGATCTTCTGCGTAGGCGACAATGATATGCATCGACAACTCAGAGTGGATGCGAAACGGAGATTACTCTCCCTCTAGGTTACAAGCTCAAACCGAAGCTGTCAATCTTCTCTGCGGTGCCAAAACTCAGGTAACGTTGGATTCTATTAAGGGTTTTGATTGTGCTTTTTTGGGATGTGATTTAGAGAGATCTATCCTTTTGCAAATTGCAGTCGAATCCGGAGAACACTGTGGGGATTTTGACAATGGCAGGGAAAGGAGTTAGGGTCTTGACTACGCCTACCTCTGATCTTGGCAAGATCCTCGCCTGTATGCACGGTATGTAAGCAATTTTAACTTCTTTTTGATGGATTAGTTTTTAGCATCATTTTTGGTGTTTTTTTGGCAGGGCTTGATGTTGGAGGAGAGATTAATTTGACAGCAGCGATACAGATTGCTCAGCTTGCTCTTAAGCATCGTCAAAACAAGAATCAACGCCAACGTATTATTGTTTTCGCTGGAAGGTTACTCTCTGCAATTTAATCTTTCTTCTTGATATAACAGTTATCTCATGTTTGTGTTGTGCTTTTGCTTTTTTTTTTTTTTAATAGTCCAATCAAGTATGAAAAGAAGGCCTTGGAGGTTGTTGGGAAAAGGCTTAAGAAGAATAGTGTCTCTATTGACATTGTTAATTTTGGTGAAGATGAGGATGAGGAGAAGCCTCTGAAACTAGAGGCCCTTCTTACTGCTGTCAATAACAATGATGGTAGCCACATTGTTCATGTTCCTTCTGGTGCCAATGCTCTCTCTGATGTCCTCCTCAGGTATATTTCTTCCTTTTTCGTGGAACAGTACGAACATTGAGAGCTCCAGGTTGAGAAAGGCATTGAGCTTGTGGGTTGCTTTAGGTTTTTGAACTTTGTTTTGATCTGGTTGTTTTTATCTAGAATTGTTGACAAGTGTTGTTATCATGGTGTGTCACTTGTGGAATTATTTTCCTGATGTGTACTGTTAATTTTGCTTACAGTACACCTGTATTCACTGGTGATGAGGGTGCAAGTGGGTATGTTTCTGCCGCAGCTGCTGCAGCTGCAGCCGGTGGTGGTGACTATGATTTTGGTGTTGATCCAAATATTGATCCAGAGCTTGCTCTCGCCCTTCGGGTCTCCATGGAGGAGGAGAGAGCTAGGCAAGAAGCTGCTGCTAAGAAGGCAGCCGATGAGGCAGGTCAGAAAGAAGGGGATACAGCTTCTGCCTCGCAGGAGACGGTTGCTAGGACTACTGAGAAGAACGCTGAACCAATGGTTAGTCGCTAGCCTTCTTAGTACAGCACTATTATCTCATACACCTCTTTATTATCAAAAATTTTGGTGGCAGGATGAGGACAACGCATTGCTAAATCAGGCAATTGCTATGTCCGTAGGTGATGTAAACATGTCAGAAGCTGCGGACGATGACCAGGATTTGGCTTTAGGTGAGTAGAGAGCTATGTGGTAAATTTATTTTTTGTGGCTATCAAAATTGGCCTTAGCTTGTATGGAACATTCTGAAGATAAATTTGTGTTGATCACTGTGCAGCTCTGCAAATGTCAATGAGTGGGGAAGAGTCAAGTGAAGCTACGGGTGCTGGAAACCTCTTAGGGGATCAAGCTTTCATATCATCTGTTCTCTCATCTGTAAGCTTTATTTTGATTTATTTTCACAAGTAAAATGTAAGAGAAAAGTAGATTGGTCTTAACTAACTGTTTATGAACACAGCTTCCAGGGGTGGATCCAAATGATCCAGCGGTTCAAGCGCTGCTAGCGTCTCTGCCAGACGAAACAAAGGTGCGTCTTACATTTGGTTTGAACATGTTTTGTTGTCTCTTGATAAAAAGAAGATTCTCTGATAATATGTTAAAATTTGCAGCGTAACGAGGAGGAAGAGAGTAGCAGCAAAGGTGAGGATGAGAAGAAGTGAAGAAGAAGGAGACGGACGTATCATGATGGTGGCTCTCAATAGACTTCATTTTTATCTCTTTGTGTTTGGTTTTGATCATATGGACTGATGAAGAAGAAGAACTCTTGTATTAATCTCTCTGCCTCGTGACCTTGTTTGTTCTCTCGTTATTTCATTAATGTTATTAGTTGATTCGAAGTCCAATTATAAACCCACTATAGTTCAATAAGCCTTAAGCCGAGTTCAAAGAATCTACTAGCAGGATCCGCCCAACTAATTTCGTGGCCCTAAACAATATAGAACTACAGTATTGGGTTGGTTTAGTATTCTTAATTCATCTGCCCTATTGCTCACGTTTTTGGTTTCTGTAATACATTTATTTTTTATATCTACTAAGAGTATCTTGACCTCATTTACGTGATTTAGATTAGTCACGTGGTAGGTTTAAAATCTTTGGCGAGATTTCGATGGAGTACTTCAGACCACGTGTTATTCTCCTCGAGCTGAAGAACCTATGTGAAAGTCTCAAACTTGGAGCCGTGGTTTAGATTAGTCACGTGGTAGGTTTAAAATCTTTGATGAGGTTTCGGTGGAATACCTCAGACCACGTGTTGTTCTCCTTGAGCTGAGAACCTATGTGAAAGTCTCGAACTTGGAGTCGTAGTTGCAGTTGCAAGCCGTTCACCACTAGATTAACGCGTCTTGGTTTCTATAAACATTCTAAACGTTTGTTTTAGTATTCTAATTGCAAACGGTAACCTTATCATTTACGTATATATAAAGTACACTACAAACGGAAATGCCAAAAATAATTGCATAGAAAAATGAACTATCGAGTAGACAAAGTGCAATCGTTAGACTTTTCGGGCAATTAAGTATACTGTATACATAATTAATTTTTCCCTTCTAGAGCAAGATAGTGAAAGACAAAAAGAGCCACAAGACTCACAACTATAACATTAAAATAATATATTATATGAAATAAAATAATGTAATAGAAGCTTCTATTGTATCTACCTACCACCTTTGAAAAAGATAATTTAATAAAAGCTTTATAGAAAGAAGAAGGAGGAGAGGCAGGTGCGTCCGTCTTCTTCACTACTTGTGACTGTGGTCACTTGTTTTGTCTTTTTACCCTTTTTCCTTATCCTCAGTTCTCCACTCCTCTCTTCCGTTTCTGTCATTTCCAAATATCTACTATCAAGTTGTAGTTTGATGATTGTAACTTCGTCATCAGAATGATATTTGACATGCATGCATGCTTAATTAATCGCCAGTGCAGGTGAAGTCATCACATTATTTGTAATTGATAATCATACATAACTTTTAAAGATATCTTGTTGTCTAGGATCAAACTGATATTTGACCTATTACATGACTAGAGAAATATTACAGCCAACTGGTTAAATTTAAACACCCCATCAGTTTATAATTTCAAGCATGCATATGCGGTTACATTCAATGAAACTCGCGCGTATACCATTTTCATATGCATGCGTATATGTGTATATATCATTTGCATGCATATTGATTTTTTTTTGAGCAAAGCATGCATATTGATATGTATGTATATGTGGATGGTGCATTGCAAGTGGACAAAAGATGAGGAAAGGTGGTTGGTATATAGGTTGGTAAGGAGATGGGTGGTGAGAAATAAATAGAGTTTGGTAGAAGAAAGGGTCCATTGGTTGTTGCTTCGTTCATTTATGGTCTTCTTTTCTATGTTCATATAGTTTTTCTTTTCCTTTTATATCTACCATTAATTTTTTCTCCTACAACTTATCTGCAAACCTCACTCTCTATTTGTCATGAGTCGGTTGGATTTACTTACATTTCATATTATTCGTACGTAATCTTTGATTAGAGAGCTTAACAAGATACCATCTCTTTATAATCCAATTATTATGTGATGAAAATGAAACCATATAACTAATATTTTTTTTCTCCTTATTTGGCTTTTCTCCAACATTGTTTACTGAGTTTTTTTGGGCAACCAACCTCATTTCACATATCATAAGAAATTATATACTTCATTCGTTCCAAATTAGATTTCGTTTTAGAGTAGGATTTTCGTTTCAAAATACGTGTCATTTTATAATTTAAATGAAAAATTTATTAATTTTAAATGTCATTCTATTTTTTTATTGGTTGAAATATATTTAGAGAGAGTATCTATATACGATTTTATTTAACTATACTCTCATATAAAGTAGAGACCGATCTACAATCACTATGCATGATCAATTTAATCGTTTCAAACTATATATTAAACTCAGATTTTAGTTGATTTCTCGACGGAAATATGATCTGCAAATCTTAAACGCTTACAAATTATACTATACGATCTCAGAAAAGTGTTGGGTAAGAAAAATATGTTCTATATAGTTTAAAATCCAACAGTAAAGTTTATCATACAAAGTTATGGATTACCTTGGAATCATTTCTCTAGGCAAAAAAAAAAAAACGAAAGAAGGTTTGTACAGTTATGCGCCTTGGCTAAATTTGACAAGATTATTAAATCATCTCCAAGCTTCTAAAACCAAAAAGAGAAGTGGTTGTCTCTTTCTTTGCCAACCCTAAAAAATCGAAGCCGTTGCTGATGTCACTCCCCTTGTTACTACCTCCAACTACATCGCATCTCGTTCTTCCGCATCTGCACTCCATCCCGTTTATCATCCCTAAACTGCACTTGAAACAACGCGCCCTCGTTGACTCTCCCTCTCCAACCAAGCCTTGACGACGACGATCAACAACATCAGGAAGACTGATTCTGAGCTCAAGATTCAAATCTGGCAACTTTTCTTTAGTTGGACACTCCTCTTTCTCTTCTTTGAACGTAAACATTGAGATTTTCTCTGATGTTCCCTGAAAACTTGTGCTTTCTATCTTTGGAGTAGAAGAGGGAGAGGTGAAGGAGATATTAAAGGTGTTACTAGTGATTGCTTCTAGTTGAGTTGGTTTAGAATCCTGAGATGATTCTTGGATTATTGGTCTATGAGTCGTTGGATCAATCCCTCTGTTTATAAGCTTTCTTCGTATATGTGTGTTCCAATAATTCTTTATCTCGTTATCTGTCCTTCCCGGTAATCTCCCAGCAATAAGCGACCATCTATATATTATTAACAAAAATAATTTAGACATCAAAAGTTTCAAGTTCTTTCTTGGTCTTTTAGCATGCATAATTATATATTCTAGAGACTATATATTATTAAATACTCACTTATTGCCAAGAAGGCTATGGAGCTTGATGATGAGCTCGTCCTCTTCCTCGGTGAAGTTTCCACGTTTAAGGTCAGGCCGGAGATAGTTGATCCACCGGAGACGGCAGCTTTTGCCACACCGAAGAAGCCCAGCGGCTTTGGGGAGAGATCGCCAACAGCCTTCTCCGTGAGCTTTAATGTAAGCTATGAGCCTCTCGTCCTCTTCTTTCGTCCATGCTCCTTTGTTTGTGTGAGCTTTCTCACAACATGGTGATCTTCCCATGTCTTTTTTTTTTTTTCCTTTTTTCTGTTTAGATTTTATTTCTTGATGCCCTGATATGAAAATGTTGCATATATATATGAGGAGGTATGAATTTATCAAGTGTGTTATTGTTATTATATATATCGAGGATTGGCTTTTAGCGAGGGTTTAGGCTAATAGGGTATAAAGGGAGTAAGTTGTTTCTTTGTGTAGTGGAAGAGGATTGAAACATTTGGTGGGGCACTTGGATTTTGGGTTCGGTTGAAAGTTCAAAGCTGTGGTGTATTATATGAGGTTTTGACATAAAGCTAGAGTGGGATATATATACACATGGATAGATATATACAATTGCTTCTAGATGTTAGAGAGAGAGTGTGTTGAACTTATAATTGCTTCTAGATGTGAGTTGGTGGGATGGATTTGAATGAGTAGTGTGTGGTGGCCTTTCGTTTTGGTACAATAAGTGAGAAGCTTGACAATATTTGATATATGGCATCATGGTCTTTTGATTAATTTATTTTTAATGAACATGACAAAAAATTAACAGAGATAAAAAAAAAAAATTCATATCTCATGCTACAAAATAATTATATTTAGAAAATTTGAAGTTCAGTGAACTGAAAGTTTGTTAATGGCTCATACCGCCAGAAGTTGGCCCTAATTATATTATTATAATAATCTAAACTGGAACCAACAATGAAGAGGAGGGAAAATTTAAGTTGTGGAGGTTGGTGGTAAAGTTAATGAGTGATTTTGTACCAAGTGCAGGTCAACTATAGGCTGTTTGGTTTGTACTGGTCAACAGCTTTTTCTCTAGTATGTAGACTGTATCAGACTAATTATTGTATTAAATTAATAATATATATATCTTAACCCTAATATATTATGTAAACTCGTCCAATTCATAATAAAATCATATATACAATCACTCGTTAAACACATCATTACCAAATAACTAATTATATGTGTGGGTATGGTATAACTTACACAAACATATTGTTTTAAATATCTCTGTCAAATGATGGCCATTGTGATAATGGTCATGCTTCTTTTATATGTTTTACAAAAACAAATACACAACAAGAACCACCAAACAGAATATGCGTATATATATTAATATTATAAAGCTTTTGGATATAATAAGAATGTGCCTTCTAGAAACTTGACTTAGGATAGTTTTCATAAACCAAACTCCTAATATTTTTTAACTAGACAGCTTGAAAATTAAGACTAAGGGTCTGTATCATTGTCAAAAAAAGACTTAGGATATAATAAATTAATAACAGTCTTATTATAGCACTAATCGTATATATCACGTATATTTTTTTGTAGAATATGATAAACTGATAAAACTAATCGTTTCCAACCTATTTTTGTAACAGTGATGTGATTATGCAAGAAACACAACCAAACGTAATAAAAGTTGTCTTGTATGTTTGCGTACCTGTATATGCGTTAGACATAAAGTTGAACTAAATTGTGGAATTTGGTAAGTTAGGTGGAAAATTTGAGAACTTTTGAATAAATAATGGTTTAATTGAAAGAGATGGAAAAAACGAAAAAGAGAGAGTTGTTGAATTTCAATTTTTAATCTATTGATATACAACCACTCACTTCATGCATGATGATGGCGCTCTTCTAGAAGGCTAGCTAGGTTCTCAGCTAGAGCCCAAGATTCTTCAGATCAGCAACATAAATATATGATTTACATTTGAATCAAATCAAACCTCACTTTTTAACATTCACCAAATCAAACCTCAAATTAATTAAAGTTTCAAAAACCCTAATTGATTGATTTCTTGTTCTATTTTCTTTATGGTTTTAAAAGAGCCTAACTAGTATAAGCACAAGAACTAACTAACCAAAAACACTACTTACAAAGAGCGTTTTAAACATCATGGAGATACATATTTAAGGTATAAAAAAAGTTAAGTTATATGCTGAAGTATTCTTTATATATATGTAAAGAATTAACATTTGTTTATCTAATGGGATTGTAAATGACGTGTATGAAATAGCGGTGTGCGATGATATAAGTAACAATAGTATTTGTCTTTTGTCAAGTATAATATAGATGCCCTATAATAATATAGTACTATTACTAATTAATTTGTCATTTTCTTAGCGTAAGTGATATGTTCATGAGTTGGTAATTATATACTAGTATTATTTAGGGTTCGTATGTGGTTAGGGACGTGGGATTTTGGTTCACCTTCCACTTTTTTAAGTGTTTTAGTTTTAAAGATGCATTATCTCACGGTAAAATACCATGGGATTTTGTTTTGAGCAGAGTAATTAAGATACTACTATGATTTGTTCCCTTGCGAAGACGTGTAAAAAAGTTGGACGATGGTTGGTGACTGTACGTGGAGGATTAGTGATATACACAAATGGTCACAATCACACATCTACTTATACACATAAGCATAGTATATAAGAAATTATATATAATATGTTAAGTTTCATTATATATTCATATATCTCTAATTTCTACGATAGTGATGAAACATGTATTATAGGCCATTATTTTACAGAAAAGAATAGATTAAAAAAAATACGCAAAACATGTCAACGGATATGACAAAGTTTTGGAGGAGATGATAGATTAAGCATAGGAGAGATAACAAGAATTGTTCACCTTGCAATCTGTATATATTAGTATTACTGTTGAAAAATCCATTTTCTATAAGGAAATGATCTTATCCTCAGTGTCACCACCACCCATCAAAAAGAAGCCACACATGTGAAGCAAATCCATATTAGGATTATAGAGTTTCGAAAGATGGGGGCAATTTACAAGTGGCTGCATGCAGTTAATATGGCTAGTCAATAGTCAGAAGTGTCATGTTCTTGATAGAAGGTAAGTGAAGCCCTTTACTGGGCTTTCATAAACCCATGCACTCTTGCAAATCTCTATAATTACTGGACGGGCCCAACTCAAAAAAAAAAAAGTATGCATGAACGAACGCCAACGTATGGAAGCTGAAAAGAGTAAGTAAACGAATCACACGTAGTAAATAGACCCACGTGTCAGTCACACGAAGAGAAAACGGCATCGTATTCGCATCGTAATATTTGTGCAAAAGTCCCTGTATTTCTCTTTGTTTCTGATTACTCCGCCACTCGATTTAGGGTTATCTAATCTCGTGTGCAAGAAACTCAAATCAAAATCATCTCTTACTTTCTTGCTCCGATCGATTCGAGGTACTGTGACGATTCCGCTCTCAAATTAGGGTTTTAATTCGATTAGTTTCTGGAATCAATTTCGAAATCGAGTAAAGAGATGCGAGAGAGTGTTTGATCAGAAGAATCTCTCAAAGGGGGTTTCTTCCATTGTATGGAAACTCGAAGCCGCAAGCGTGCGGAGGCGACCTCTACTCCTCCTCCTCCTCCTCCTCCTTCCTCCGGTCCCACCACTCGCAGCAAACGCACTCGCCTCTCTTCCTCCACCACCGCGCCTTCTCGCATGGACACCTCCACCGACTCTTCTACCTTCCGCCGCGGAGGAGGAAGAGGAAACGATAACTCCGACAAGGGAAAGGAGAAGGAAAGAGAGAGCGGCAGTGCCGGAGAACAACAACGTCTCAACATAGACGAGTACGACGACAGTGACGATGATAATGATGGTTCCGGGGGATTCATGAATCCAAACAACATGAGCTCAGCGAGCAGTGCGTTACAAGGCTTGCTCAGGAAGCTTGGAGCTGGTCTCGATGACTTGCTTCCTTCTTCAGCTTCCTCTTCCCACTTAAACGGCAGGTGCAAGAAGATTCTCTCTGGCTTGCGCTCTCATGGTGAAGAGGGTAAGCAGGTTGAGGCTTTGACTCAGCTTTGCGAGATGTTATCCATTGGGACTGAAGACTCTTTGAGTACTTTCTCTGTTGATTCGTTCGTCCCGGTTCTTGTTGGTCTTCTTAACCATGAAAGCAATCCGGATATTATGCTTCTTGCGGCTAGGGCTCTTACTCATCTTTGTGATGTATTGCCTTCTTCTTGTGCTGCCGTTGTGCATTACGGCGCTGTTTCGTGCTTTGTCGCCAGATTGCTTACCATTGAGTACATGGACTTGGCAGAGCAGGTTTGGCATCCTATAGCAGTTTTTGAATAATATGTCATGTTGCTGAGATTGAGAACCACTTTGTATTTTAGAACTCAGGCTGTTGCTACACATGTTTTAGTTTGGTCAATGATTTTTATATCGAAATCTTACTCGTTTTCTAATTGTGGTTTTGCAACAGTCTCTGCAAGCTCTCAAAAAGATATCCCTGGAGCATCCAACTGCCTGTTTGCGAGCTGGTGCTTTAATGGCTGTGCTCTCATATCTTGATTTCTTCTCCACTGGAGTCCAGGTTGGTAAATTTGTAACTTTTCTTTTGTTTTATGATTTACGTTTTCGTGTATCTAATGCACATAATTACTTGGCTTCTTGTAGCGTGTGGCACTATCTACTGCTGCAAATATGTGCAAGAAATTGCCTTCTGATGCTTCTGATTTTGTTATGGAAGCTGTACCATTACTGACAAACCTTCTTCAGTATCATGATTCTAAGGTAATTGGACCTTCTTTTTTGTTATATATGGCACTGTCTAGTTCCACTCTTGTCCCAGTTTCCTCCATAATTTGTTAGTATGGTGGCAGGTTTTGGAATCTGCTTCTATCTGTCTTACTCGGATTGCTGAAGCATTTGCATCGTACCCTGAGAAGTTAGATGAATTATGCAACCACGGCCTGGTGACTCAAGCTGCGTCACTAATTTCCACTACCAATTCAGGAGGTGGACAAGCATCTCTCGGTGTTTCTACATACACGGTATGTGTAAATTCTTTTGTGTTTTCTCTGTATCTTTCACAAGATGACATTTTCACCATATTTTGCACAGGGGTTAATCCGATTACTTTCCACCTGTGCGAGCGGGTCACCTCTTGGATTCAAGACATTACTTCTTCTGGGTATTAGTAGTATTCTGAAGGATATTCTATTGGGTTCTGGTGTCTCGGCTAATGCATCTGTATCCCCAGCACTGAGCAGGCCTGCAGATCAGGTATTGTATTTTACATATTGAGATCACAAAATTCTTTTGTTGAATACCTGATTAAATAATGCATACAGTGGGATGATTAGGGGAAGTACTTACAAATCGATCACTAGAGTTTAGGATCAACTCTCTATACCAGCTATAGTCTCCTCATTTTTATATACTTGTCGTATTTTTCTTAGGTGTTTTGAATAGTGTATAGATCATATAATATATGTACAGGTCGTTTGAGCTTTATTTCAGTGGTAGCAGATGGCTCAATTTTCATATGATTGTTTTCTGGTTTTATGTTAGAGGTGGTTATGTTTTGAGTTATAACTTTTGTTTTGTATTTTAGATTTTTGAGATTGTGAACCTAGCAAACGAGCTCCTCCCTCCATTACCAGAAGGAGTTATCTCCCTTCCTACTAGCACAAACACTTTGGTGAAAGGTTCAGGCCAAAGAAACCCTTCTCCAAGTACCTCAGGAAAACGAGAAGATTCTCTAAAAGTTTCACCCAGAGAAAAATTACTTGCTGATCAACCTGAACTTCTGCAGCAATTTGGATTGGATCTTCTTCCAGTTTTAGTGCAGGTGATTTCTTGTTACATTTGCTACAAAATAATTTGCATACGATCTGCTGTATGTCTAACTATCCTTTTTTTTTCTTTCCAACAGATTTATGGTTCTAGCGTCAATGGTACAATTCGCCATAAATGTCTCTCAGTTATCGGAAAGTTGATGTACTTTAGCACTTCAGAAATGATCCAGTCTCTAATCGGGGACACAAATATATCGAGGTATGCTGCTTACTATTAAATGGGTTCACATGACAGTGGGTGGAACATCTTATATACTTTTTCCTATATAGCTTCTTGGCTGGAGTCTTGGCGTGGAAAGATCCACAAGTCTTGGTTCCTGCTCTACAAGTTGCAGAAATTCTTATGGAAAAGCTTCCTGAAACATTCTCTAAAGTGTTTGTGAGGGAAGGGGTGGTTCATGCTGTAGATCAACTTGTCTTGGTTGGTAGACCTATATCTCATGCTTCTCTTAATGATAGGGAAAATGACTGTGTTCCTGGATCTGCACGATCTAGGCGTTATAGACGGCGAAGTAGTAATGCCAGTTCTGATGGAAACCAATCCGAAGATCTTAAGAATTCTGTGTCCGTAAACATAAATGCAAACCATAATTCCCTGGAGTCGCCTACAGCTAGCTTCATGCTGAGGGAATCAGTCAGCTCGTGTGCCAAAGCATTTAAAGACAAGTACTTCCCATCTGATGGTGGGGATCTCGATGTTGGAGTCACAGATGATCTCTTACATCTGAAGAATCTTTGCACGAAGCTGACTGCTGGTACAGATGATCATAAAGTGAAGGGAAAGGGAAAATCTAAAGCCTCTGGGCCATGTCTTGGCGATTTTTCTGCTAGCAAGGAAGAATACTTGATTGGCATAATTTCTGAGATACTTGGCGAGCTAAGCAAAGGGGATGGCGTCTCGACTTTTGAGTTTATAGGCAGTGGTGTGGTTGCAGCATTGCTTAACTATTTTTCTTGTGGATGCTTTTCCAAAGAGAAGATCTCCGAGCTTAATATGCCCAAACTTCGCCAGGATGGGCTCAGAAGGTTCAAAGCTTTTCTAGAAGTCGCACTTCCTTCTGATGGTAGTGAGGGAAAGATCCTTCCTATGACAGTTTTGGTTCAAAAACTTCAAGATTCTTTATCTTCACTGGAACGCTTTCCCGTTGTCCTTAGCCATCCCTCAAGGTCACTAAGTGGAAGTGCTCGTCTCTCATCTGGTTTGAGTGCTTTGGCACATCCTTTGAAGTTGCGATTATGCCGTGCACCTGGAGAGAAGACATTACGTGATTACTCCTCCAATATTGTGCTTATAGATCCATTGGCAAGCCTAGCAGCTGTGGAGGAGTTTCTATGGCCCCGAGTTCAACGCAGTGAATCTGGTATGAAGCCAGCAGCGCCTGCCAATGCAGATACCTGCACATTACCTAGCGGGGCTGGTGTCTCATCACCATCCTCGTCAACTCCAGCTGCCACCACTCGTGGTCATTCTTCTAGATCTAGATCATCAATTAACATAGGTGGTACCTCAAAGAACGAACCTGTGCATGAGAAAGGTACTAGCTCATCCAAAGGAAAAGGTAAGGGCGTTATGAAGCCGGCTCAAGCGGACAAGGGTCCTCAAACAAGGAGCAGTGCTCAAAGGAGAGCTGCCCTTGACATAGATACCCATATGAAACCAGCGGGCGGAGAGTCCAGCTCTGATGTATGTTACTGTACAAATCTTTGAATGTTATGGTTGTT